CTCATATTCTCTATATTTGCTAGTCTCTCTCAAATATTCTCTATATTTGCTGGTTTTTGTCCAGCAACTTCCATTCGAGCAAGAGATCAAAGTTTGTAGTAAACTCAGGTGCAGGTGTTATTGGGGGTTCTTATCTCTAGGCTTGGTTGCATTAAAACGTCTCTGTGAAGGTGTTAACTATTTTTCTAAGACCATGATAGCACGATTGCCCCCTTTGAAACATGCGTTTCTAACTCTATTTAATTTAATTTGAAGTTTAGGGATTTTGATTACTTTTGTAGAAATTATCTAACAAATATACTATCTTGAAATTTTAGCTATATACATTGAGTGACATTGGACTACTGATGTTGGCCATATTACTATCGAAACTTCGATATGATAAATAAAAAAGTTTAATTTCCAAATTACGTTGAAACCGATGGGAGAAAAACTAGGTACAGGCTCGGGGTCCCCCAACCCACGTGTCCACTCTTATTTAAAATTTTGTATGTACAAAATTATCTAACAAATATACTATCTTGAAATTTTAGCTATATACATTGAGTGACATTGGACTACTGATGTTGGCCATATTACTATCGAAACTTCGATATGATAAATAAAAAAGTTTAATTTCCAAATTACGTTGAAACCGATGGGAGAAAAACTAGGTACAGGCTCGGGGTCCCCCAACCCACGTGTCCACTCTTATTTAAAATTTTGTATGTACAAAAAATAGTGATTTTTTTATTTTTTTATATGTATTATATATGTATAATATATGTATATATAAATATATATAATATGTATAATATATGTATATATATAATATATGTATATATAATATATTTCTATATATGTATAATATGTCATATGTGTGTATATATATACTCTCTCTTAGTATATAAGTATATATATATATGTATAAGTATATATAAGTATACTTTCTCTTATATAAGTATATATAAGAATACTCTCTCTTATATATGTATAATGTATGCATGTATGTATATATATACTCTCTCTTAGTATATATGTATATATAAGTATACTCTCTCTTATATAAGTATATATAAGTATACACTCTCTTATATATATATAATATATGTGTGTGTATATATATATACTCTCTCTCTTAGTATATATGTATATATAAGTATACTCTCTCTTATATATGTATAATATGTGTGTGTGTGTGTGTTCTCTCTCTTAGTATATAAGTATATATAAGTATAGTTGTGTGTATATATATATACTCTCTCTCTTAGTATATATGTATATATAAGTATACTCTCTCTTATATATGTATAATATGTGTGTGCGTGTGTACTCTCTCTCTTAGTATATAAGTATATATAAGTATAGTATATTACAACGACTACTTCTTCCCCATTGGCCCAACAGGCAACGGCTACTTATGCGATTCTCTCTCTCTCTCAAGTTATAATAATGTTAAACTAATTTTTAGCATTTTTTTATAAAAAAAAGAAAAGAAATTTAAAAAAACCTAGTTGGGATGTACTTATCTATTGTGATGCGATGAATTCCAAAATAAATTTATACTTATAATTTGTAAATAATTTATTAATTATTAATAAAGAATTTATTTTTATAATTTTTTATTTGTAATTTATGTCATTTTAAGTGATTAATAAAATTATTATTTTTTATTAATTTTTTTTTTTTGTATAATTTAAATTTTAAATAGAATTTTGGTGCTCTTTAACCCTAAAAGTTTTGACGGCCGTTCGAATCGATTCAGGGATGTTCTCGAGCTTAGGTGCAGGGGGTGTTTGTGGGACTGTTGAGGAATAGCGAAGGGTCAGCTGTTTGGGGCAGAAAAGAAGAAATTAAAGACTGTTTTTCTACCGGAAAAGAAACAGAGGGAGGCTTTTGCTTGTGGTTGCAGGGAAGAAAACAGAGGATCTTGGTTGGGGTCTTGTGGCTGCAATAAATAAAGATAAGAGAGGAAAAGTAGAAAACAAAAGAACAAACAATGAAAATTGTAGATAATTTGTGGCTTCATGCCTTGCAGCTCACTTTTCTCAAACTCACATATTTTCATTCAGCAACCAATCTCCTTTCCTCATAGAGAATACATCTTATTTATGTAATAAAATTAGTACTAAAGATAACATCAAATCATCGGAAATCTTAACTAATAAATCTGAAAATATCATCCTAACTAAATGTCTAACAGAAGCATCTAAAAAGATAAAACTTTCAAACTGCAAATCCCTATCAACTAAAACAGAGTCACCTAATAAAATCTAAACTAAATTACTAAATAAAATCAACTCAGTCTTAACTTGTTCTGCAGCATATCTCTCCTTGTTAGAGAAAACTCGACCTTGAGTTTTATAACGGGGAGAACATAAAAATTCCTTCGATTAGTGGGTAGTATTGTTGTATGCATTGCAGGGTCTTTAAAATTATCTTTATAATTTGATAACGAGTAGGTGGCAGAGGATCTAGAATGACAAACTCTATCGTTGAATTAAATACAAATTGGAGGCATCTCAAATTGGACTTCAACTTTGGACTTGAGCTTTGGGTTTGATTCAAGGTCAGCCTCTGGGTTAACCTTCCGCCCTGTCTTTGTTTCGGGCTCGAGTTCAGGTTCAAACTCCAGTTCAAGCTTGTGCTCTGAATCTATCTTTTGATTTTTCTTTGTTTTTTGTTGCTTCTGCTTAGGCTCATACTCTAAATTAATCTTCTGACATGCATCTTATTTTGGCTCATAATTTGGCTTGAGCACTGGTTTCGGTTCAGACTGCAAGTCCACATCTGGCTGGAATCGGGACACTAGTGTTGACTTTGCTTCAGGCTTTGAGGAGAAACAATAATATTTCTAGTTGGCTGACAAGAGTATCTCCTTTTCCAGAAGAAATTTCGTAGGTTTCCATGAAGGGATAGCTGAAGTGCTGAAACGATACTTGAATAATTTCTAGACCATCATTCTTGAGCTTCTCTTTTCTCTAGCCTACACTTTGCATATAAATGCTTTTTCTATTTTTGACATATCATAATAATAGAAAGTATATCCTCTATATATTGAATCCATATTTCAAAATCATACGACTCCTCATATCCATCAATTCCGTAAAAATATGAAAAACTACCATATTTTGATGGACTGAAATTAAAATGTTGTGAAGGAGGTAACAGTACTTTATCCATGGTAACTGTAGATCCTTCAGCACTGATACCGGTTGATGGGGATCGGGCGGAAGGCGATCTGGACATGATTCAGGCATGTACACAAAAGTGCTTCAGGGTGTGTTTGTGGGACTGTTGGCAGCAAAGGAATAGCAAAGGGTCGGCTGTTTGGGGGCAGAAATGAAGAAAATGAAGGTTGTTTTTCTGCTTGAAAAGAAATAGAGAGAGGGAGGGCTGTTTGTGGTTGCAAGGAAGAAAACAGAGGGTCTTGCTTTGGGTCTTGTGGTTGCAGTAAAGCAAGATAAGAGAGGAAAAGTGGAAAAGAAACGAAGAATAAAAATTACAAATAATTTGTGGCTTTATGCCCTCACTATCTCCGTTCATGAATTAATTTCCTTTCCTCATGGAGGATACATCTAATTTATGGAATGAACTTAATACTAAAGATAACTTGAAATCACCGAAAATCTTATCTAATAAAATTGAGAATATGATCCTAACCAAATATCTAGCAGAAGCATCTAAAAATATAAACTTTCAAACTGCAAATCCTATCAACTAAAATAGATTCTCCTAAATAAAATCCAAACCAATGTACTTAATGATATCAACTCAATCTTAACTTGTCCTGCATCAGTTATGCACTTACACAGCTAGGTAACTGGCATGCCTGAGTTTGAAGAATTATGTCTGTTGCTTGGTCCTGAGGAATTATTTTAGTTAGAGAAGGGAAGTAGGAGAGGGTGGGATGTAGGGAAGGGGATGGTATTTTTCTGCATTTCTGTATCAATTGGCCATGTTTTGAAGGCACTTGTTAGTGAGTCCGCGTCTCCTGGCCCCATAGCTCACATGTCTATGTAGATTAAGCGACTCGTAGATAATTGGCTTAATCTTGTGAAGCGTGTATGGTTAAAATCTGTTAATTGTTAAAAACATCTGTATACACATCTGTCTAGAAGAAATATACTTCACTTTCTTATCACTTCATATCATCCAGTTAGTTAATACCTCTATAATTCCAAATTCCTTCAACTTTGCAAGATTAAGGCTATAACAACATTTTAAGTTTATTTTTATCACCAATACAATAGAAGAGAGTATGAGGAAATGGGAAGTGACAAAGGTTTAAGTTTATTTATATCACCAATACAATAGAAGAGAGTATGAGGAAATGGGAAATGAGTTAATATTAGAAGTCTCTTTTTTTTTTTCTTTTTTTTTCTTTTTTTTTCTTTCGTTTTTTGAGATGGGGGTGGGGAGAGTTCGAGTTTTCAAGTGCCTCCTAGAAGAGTCATTTTTTGAAGGTTCAAAGCAACTATGAACTGACTGGATAATCTTCATTTTGAACAAGTTTTCCCCTCAAAGTTTTCCTTCCAGGGTTGACTTTGAGGGGTTTGACTCTGGAGCGAAGGGATCATGATTGATTCCTTCTTGTTTCTTTTCTTTCCCTTTTCTATTGCCCTATCTTCTAGAAATTCATTTACAGGCTCTATTTGTGATTTGAGCTAACTTCATGTGCATTGTTGTTCCCTAGGAAAACTAAAAACATGTTATTGAATGTTTCTGATAGGAACATGTTGCTGCAGGTAACCAACAAAACAAGAAGACAGGTCCTAAAGTTGTTATAAGTACTGCAGCAACAATTGGTGCTTTATTGTTGGTTGCTCTTATGTGTTTCTGGGGCTGCTTTATGTACAAAAAATTTGCTTATGACATATTATACTCTTATTTTTTCAGGTGCATCTATTGTTATGTTTCATGGGGACTTGCCTTACTCATCAAATAAGAGAGAGAGTATATATATATATATATATATACTCTCTCTCTTATAAAATATTATACTCTTATTTTTTCAGGTGCATCTATTGTTATGTTTCATGGGGACTTGCCTTACTCATCAAAAGACATCCTCAAGAAGCTCGAGACTTTGAATGATAAACATATTATTGGTTCTGGTGGCTTTGGAACTGCATACAAGCTAGATATGGATGATGACAATATTTTTGCTCTGAAAAGAATAGTAAAGACAAATGAAGGTCTTGACCGCTTTTTTGATAGGGAACTTGAGATCTTGGGCAGTATTAAACAAATATCGTTATTTGGTAAATCTACGTGGGTATTGCAATTCACAGTCATCTAAGTTATTAATTTATGATTTTTTGTCTGGCGGGAGCTTGGATGAAGCTGTTTACATGGTTAGAACTGCTCATTTTTACTACAACTTACTTCAAATTGTATGCTTTGTAATTTTTTGATTTATGATTTTCTGTTGATTTTAGATTGATTTGAAGCTGAAATTGTGTCGGGGCTCTTCGACTAAAAAGATTTTGGTTCGAGAGACGATGAGTTATGAAGCTAATAATCTCATTTTAGGGATCAAAAAGAATTGCCGAGGCATTAGGTGAGTAAAGGGCCTTCTTTTTGCAAATTTTTTGAGATATAAATCACTCATTTTGTGATGAGATTGAATTTGATGGTAGGTCTTCATCTACCTCGATCGCAAAGTAATGTTCGAAGAAACTGCCGAAGGATTGCTCGGTTCGTGCAGTGAGCAATGACAAGATTGTATTCCAGAGATAATCCACAATGTCAGTTTGATTTGGTTTGATACTTTAAGTTTAGCTTTTGCTGATTGTCTACAATCTATTAAATGAAACCATATTTTTGTTACAGAAAACAGAAAGTGTTCCAGAAACCTGAGTCGAAAACGAAGCAAACATGATTATTTTTTCATGAATGTTGCTTCTATGCAGATACATGAGTTAGCATTTGTTTCACAAATTTCAACAAAATTGCAAATCTATTAGAGACCCAAATCCAATATTTATGAGACGTTCTTTATCTTTATCAGATGTTAAATTTGAGTGGTTGACAACTTTATAGTTGATGAATTTAATTGATTTATTACTTTGTGTATGCATTTTGTTCTGCTTTTGGGCTTATGTGCCGCAGTTGAGTGAATTCCTTATGGGGATTAAATATTTTCTATCTTTCTTTTAGATTCCTTCTTAAGATAGGATAAATTTGACGTACAGAACATTGGACACGTATTTTCTATCTTTCTTTTAGATTCCTTCTTAAGATAGGATAAATTTGACGTACAGAACATTGGACACGCCGGTCTTTTGAGGTAAATTTATTTTTGACACATGCAAAGTATAGTCACTTTGCACCGGTTATGAGTGAACATTTGTGTTTATAATCCTTCATTGTTTTGGATAATTGGAGATCTGAATCATGATCTTTCTGCAGTTTTTCCTCTTTGCAATTCAGGTCAGCTAACAATTTTTCCTATTTGATTTGCAATTGTATGTCCATATCTCGATGACAAATTAAAAAGGGTGTAGTTTTTGTTGGTACTTTCATTTGCAAGAATTTGGATCTTCGGTGTACAAATTTCAAACAAGTTTCCTAATTTTTTTTTTTTTCAAATCATTCATCACCTTATGGGTATTTGGAACTTCGGTGTCAACTTATGTGCAATACTAATATCTTTTTTGTTTCAAATCTTTAAAGAATTTAAGATTCATTACTTCTCTTCATTTTAAGTAGTAATAATATGATGACGATTCCAAAAAAAATAGTCACTTTATTTCATGTTTCATCTTTGATTTTTTTTATTTGAAGGGGGTTTCCAGCATGCCTTGAGGAAGAGACCGTGACCAAGTTTTTGCTGGATTGTTTGTTAACAAATTAAGGTGATTCTGACATTATAGGCTAGATGGATGTTAGTAAAAGTTCTAAAGATAATTTAATTTCTGTTATTCTACAAGAAACAAGTGTTGATAGTTCAAAGTTTAACTAAAAAAAAAACTAATTGAGGCAATTTAAGCTTAGGATTATGCATAATCTCCTTGGGCAAATTAGTTTAAAGATTCCCTACTTGCACATGTATTTCTATCTCCATAGATGTTAGTATTGCACATAGACTAATTATCCTACAAAGATCTTTTATCTTTTTTTTCAGTGAAAGAAAACTTTCCATTTTCCATGAGCATACAAAATATAATAATTAGTAATATTAAGTGATATTAAGTGATTAATATTATTATTAGGTGATTAATGATTAATAATATTAAGTGATTAATGATTAGTTTTATTAGTAATATTAACTGTTAGTAATACTAAGTGATTAATGATTAGTTTTATTAATGAATCTGCTTACATGTTTAAGAAAGTGAAGTTATAAAACAACCTGTGCTTTGCACGGGCATGAAAACTAGTATAAGTATGTATAAGAATACGATCTCTTATTTGTGTGTATATATATATATACTCTCTCTCTTAGTATATATGTATATATAAGTATACTCTATCTTATATATGTATACTCCCTCTTATATAACTATACTCTCTCTTATATATGTAGAATATGTGTATGTGTGTGTATACTCTCTCTCTCTCTTAGTATATAAGTATATATAATTAAGTATAGTATATTACAACGGCTATTTCTTCCCTATTGGCCCAACGGACAACGGCTACTTATGCGATTCTCTCTCTCAAGTTATAACTTATAAATATATACAATATATTTACATATAATATATGTATATATAATATATAGTTACATAATAATTTGTAAGTATATACTAATACATAATTATATAAAATATAATAATGTTAAACTAATTTTTAGCATTTTTTTATCAAAAAAAAGAAATTTAAAAAAACCTAGTTGGGATGTACTTATCTATTGTGATGCGATGAATTCCAAAATAAATTTATACTTGTAATTTGTAACTTATTTATTAATTATTAATAAAGAATTTATTTTTATAATTTTTTATTTATATATTTTGTTATTTTAAGTGATTAATAAAATTATTATTTTTTATTAAATTTTTTGTTTTTTTTATAATTTAAATTTTAAATAGAATTTAAAAACAAGAAAATAAACCGGGCCCGGTCCGAGCCCGGGCCCTCCGGTTTTGCCGGCCCGGCCCGGATGGACACACCTAGACTTAATGGCATTTAAATACCCTACATGCACTTATGTACCTTAAACTTTTTAAAATTTGCATTTTAATATCTAAGTTATGCAAACATGAGTATTTCCCGCTGAAAATTCATATGCTAATTTGAGGACTTTTAACCTTTTATTTTTATTGAATCTTCTGTTAAACCTATATTTTGATAGTAACTATATTTTAGCCAGCCCCAACTCTGTTTTAAAATAGTATTTTTTATAGTTTACACATGAAGAATAAAAATATTCTAAAAAAACTAGTATGTAAGTGTTGCGTGAGAATCTTTAGGGGGGAAGGGAAGTTCTCATATTTGTATAACTAGGGATATTAAAGTGCAAATTTTAAAAACTTTAGGGCTAAATGACACTTAAATACTCTATTGTTTCACCATATTTACCTTAAGTTATAAAAAGTAACACTTTAATACCCTACGTTGTAAAACATTGACATGTTAGTACCTTCTGCTAGTTACCGTGAGAATATTCTTAGGAATATGTCCTGACAATTAACAGAATGTATTAAAGTGCTACTTTCTTTTTACGCAAGGTATCAAAGTGCTACTTTTTACAACTTAGAATATTGAGATGTAAATGTTGTTACTTTTTTACAATTTAGGATATCAAACAGCTAGTTTTTACAACTTAGGGTATTTTAAGTGTAAATGTGGTAGAACAATAGGATATTTAAGTGTCATTTAGCAAAACTCTAGTGTATAAGTGCTATCAAAAACAAGTGAGAGTGCAAACTAGGAGAAACTATAGGGTATTTAACTACAAGTAAGCCTAAAAATACCCCAATGTAACTTAGATTCTTTATAAATAGAGCTTCTCTTCTAATAAAAAAGTTAGAAATCTTCTTCACCCTGTCTATTTGTGTTTGCATGGTTTTCGATCGGTTGAAAACCTAGATTGCAAACAACAGTCAACATACAGATTTTTTGAGCCTGAATTTGCTGATGTCATTACAATATAATGAGATAATATTGTTTTAAGACGACCGTGTATATCTGATTTTCTCAGTTCATATTTAATTTCATTTTTGTTATATACTTCTAATAAACGCAAGTCCACTAAGGTAAAAAGACAATTAGAGGTTAAATATTTGAACTATTTTCATCTACTATTACCAGTGGCGTAGCCAGGAATTTTTTTGCCCTGGGCAAAAAATCGCTGGGCTACGCCACTGCCAGACTGCCTCCATCACTGACGTCCTCCTTGGTTTCCACGCGAAGGCGAGCAACATGAGGACGGTGATCCAGGTCACCACCGTGGTCGGAACAGCGATGGAGAGGGCGGCTCCCATGGAGAGGAGGCCAAAGACGCCGCCGTAGAGGACGGAGGCGTAGAGGGCTGGCCAACCGGCGAAGAAGTAGGAGCTGGGGCGTAGAGGGCCGGCCACTTTCTTGCCCTGGGCAGCTGCCCAGGGCAAGAGTACCCTAGCTACGCCCCTGACTATTACTCTCCATTCTTTGATTTTATGCTACTCCTAATAGGGGGGACATTGGGCTCGATCAGCCCATAACCCTGCTCGCTTAATCAGTCTCCGCCCCCCTATGATTATGAAGTCTATGTGGGTCAACAGCGCGCTCAACTAATGAAGCCCACCGAATGAGTTGGGTTATGTGAGCGGTCTAGCTCGCTAGACACGTGATGTAGAACACACTGCAGATATATTCGTGGAGAAACTGGACCGATAAAAGCTCAAACGCGGATCCGGCAGAAGAAAATAGCTTGCAACGTAAAACGGGTCATATCTCCCAAACCGTACATCGGAATTGGATAAGTTATATAAAAAAACCACATGTTTTTTTTAAGACAAAGTCAACCGAACTCACCGATGATCGGTTTGCCGCCATCTGTTTCATGAAATCCTCTCCAAATTGAGAAATATCAGTGTTTTTTGTTAGTTTTTTTTACTATTTTAGGTAATGCTTTAGGAGTTTTGATTAGAAACCAAATCAGGTTTGATTCCAGGTTTGATCGATTTGTTTTCCCAATCATAGGGAGTCTTTTAAGGAGAGTTTTGTTATTTTTATTTTTAATGAAGTTCGAGTTCTATAGTAGGAGTCTTGCTTGTTTTCTATTTAATTAGAGGATTTTAAGCTCTAGAGACATATCTTTTCATCAATAAATTTTTTTCTTTATTATGTTTTCTTCATGGATTCGAAATTCTTCGTGGAATCAAAGATCATTCTTTATAGATTCAGAGAATAATCATTGGTAGATTCTGAGGTTTATTACTTCCGCTCTGCGTTAACTCGTCCCGTTAGCCCGCCCAATTTAAGCTTGTTTTACACAATACGAACACTTTTTATTATAGTTTGCTATAATTTTTCTGTTCTTGTATTCTTTTTAAAACTAGTAGAGCAATTAGTTATTGCTTGTGAATGTAGGACTTGCTCCGAACCACGTCAAATCTCCAAGCCTGTGATGCTTTCTTTTGTAAATGTATACAAATATATAATTTTACTTAATAAAATTAATCCCCCCCTCCCCCTTTTTATAATGGTTAGATTATATTATTTCCCTCCCTTTTTTATAATGGTTAGATTATTACTTTCTTAATTATATGTAATTTTTAAGATTTACACAATACTTAGCAAACTAATACAAAACAAAATAAAAATAAAAAAAAATCTAAAATAGTGAGACAGATGGCCCGGCCCATGTCATGACCCCTCCAGATTGTTCCTGAATCCGCGAGCGAGTTGGGTCGAGCTTGAGGCTTGAAAACAAGTGACAAAAGACGGTTCACTAGTCCCGCTGCGAGCCACGCTCACCTCTCAGTAGGCCCACCACCCAGTCTGCCGGACGAGCCAGTAAGTCTCGCTGCCCATCCATAAATTTCCTTAGAAAGAGTTCATCCTCCGTG